ATGATGATGATGATGATGATGATGATGATGATGATGATGATGATCTTTCTCCTTGCCTGATCATTGGCACGTTTCCCCCTTCTGCCTCTGCAAGGGAGACGACCCTTTCATAAAAGGCTCCCTTGCAAATGAAGGCAAGGTTGGGACAGGAAGGGTTATTGATGACTCCATCCATCCATCCATCCCTCTATGGCTAGGAATGATATTCTTGCAGCTGTAGCTGAAGGCTTAAGCATGCCCCTAAAGGAAACAGCTATCTCATCATCTTTTCCAGGCCTCTGCCTACCTCTCTCTTCACCTCTAACCCTCCTCCAGGATAATTCACACCCTGCAGCCATGCTAGAATTAAGCTTCCCCTTAGAAATGCAGAGACAGCAGCCTCAGGATGGAGCTGGGTCTCTCTGTGTCTCTCTCAAGTACAGGCAAGGATGAGGATGGGGGAGAATCTCTCCTCTGGTACCTCCTGTAGGCAACCTTTCCCCTTTAAGGGTCAAGGGACTTCAGCTCCCAGAAGCCTCAGCCATGTCGGCCAATAGCAACATGTTGGCCAATAGCTCCTGGGATTCTGGGAGCTGAAGTCCCTCGGCCCTTAAAGGGGAAAGGTTGCCTACCCCTGATTACAGTTACTTAAGAAAAGGGAGGGGGGAGATCAAAACCCATAACCATGTTGGTGGGATATACCAGACAATCTCCTTGCGTGTGTTTCCTCCATAAAACATGATGGCGATGGTAGTGGCAGTGGTGGCAAAAATTAAGCTTATTTGTAATTGTGAAGTCGTAGGCTTTCGTGGCCAGCATCCATCGTTTTTTGTGAGTTTTTCGGGCTGTGTGGCCATGTTCTAGAAGAGTTTCTTTCTGACGTTCCACCAGCATCTGTGGCTGGCATCTTCAGAGAAATTGCATTCCGGGTGTACTGACCCCTGCGATTTCCCCAAATGCGGGAAACTCGACTGCATAATTTGTGGTAGTCTAAAGATGGCAAAACGTCAGAAGGAACATGGCCACACAGCCCGAAAACCCCACAAAAAACTATCATTTGTAATTGCTTACTTTTTAAAGCTAAGGGTGCCCAGTCCCTTGAGCTTTCATCCTGGGGAATTTCATCCTGGGAAATCACAGCAGAAATGACAGGACCTCCTCTAAAGGGCAGTGGTGCCAGGTGGATCAAGTTCCTTCATGGGCTTCAGTGGGCATTGCCTCCCTGGTGGCTCTTTCAAAACACAGGTCACGGGATAAACCACAACTGGTTCAGAAACAGGCACTTTCTTCTGATCTGGGAGCTCTTTTTGTTCAACTCTGATTATATCTTCATAAGATTTGTGGGAGAGCCAGCATGGTGTCACGATTTGAGCTTTGGACTACACCTCTGGAGAATTAAGAATTAGAATTAAGCTTCCTCTTAGAAATGCAGTGACAGCAGTGTTGTCTCTCTCTCTGAAGTACAGGCAGAGATGGGGATGGAGAAACATCTGCTCTGGTGGCTCTTGAAGAAGCTACAGTTACTCAAGAAAAAGAAGGGAGCAGATCAAAATCTAGACTCATGTTGGTGAACTATACCAGACAATTTCCCCAAAAGTAAAAAGTGGCTGATTTTGTCCATTTTCTGTG